TATTCAACAAGATAGGTAAACTTTCCCTTGAATTTCTCTATAAATTAGCACAACGAGAACCTTACCTGAACCTCGAATGTGAAGTACTTCTTCAGGTTCTTGATAATCATCACCAGAAAGGGCAACTTTATACCCAAAGTCTTCCTCGGGTCCGCAGGACATGTGATATACGTTGTGCTGACGTTGCTGCCTAGTATCTCCAGAACAAGGCTCTGGATGTCGTTGTCAGTGATCCTCTTGATATGTCCGTTCCTCACCTTCTTATCCCAGATTTGCAACGGTTTGCTGCCGATGCTGTACAGGATGGACAGGAAACCACTTTGGAAGGTATTCTTGAACATCTTCGGATTCGTTCGGGATCCCGCCGCTCTGGCAATTTTCTCTGGTGTATATGTTTCAAAACTAGGCTCCTACTCCTCTATTTTTTCGTCAATTCTGCAATACACAAATTAGCACGATAAATTCGGCCGATTTCTCGGCATCGAAAAACAGAAGCTAACCTTCTTCCATCTTAAATTAAGTGAACTATGCTAAATAATCCCGGAACGGGATCGAAGGCACCGCATCACATCGGCAAAGAAAGGAAAGGACTGAGCTGAAAACACGTTACGAGCGACGATTTAAAAAAATTCATGCTTATGCTTGAAACAATAAACGTTTCTCTTTATATGCATCGGTCGTCGTTTTACTTTAATCCATCGTTTCATGAGTTGTCTCACGGAATGACACGGAATAAAATATCAACGGTGATTTTAACCTGTAGTCGACTGTTTGATCGATACATCGTTCCTCAATCATGAATACATCAACATAGACGAATAGACTTCAGTTTGGATGCGTCAGACTTCAATAAATTGTCAGAATAGTAAACTTTAAATTGTTAAGATTGCGGATAAATTAAAATTTCAATTGCATTTATTTATTTGAGGTTATAATAGCTAACTCAACTGATGATCCTGGATCCAACATCCAACATGAAAATCGCGAGCCGAGATGCCGAAGACAGAAAAGCGGCAAAACGTTGAACTAAAACATCCCGTCCGATAAGGAAGGGATTTTTGTATCCCGCATCGCATAAAATGACCCAGATATTTAGTAAACAATTATTGTGTAAAATAAATTCATTTTTTCGTTTAGATCTTAGTTTCATTAAAATTGAGAGACATGCCTGGTGAAAAAATTTCTCATATTTTCTTAGAAATTTTCTAAAAACCGTAGTCCGTTCTTATTTTATTATAATATTTTAAGATTGCACCACTTAAGATGGTTTTAAATATAAAAACGAACTATAAATTTAATATTTTATTACTTTTTCTGAAAAATGTTCCAATTTGTATAAAAATTTTGAAAAAATCTTAAAATTTTCATAGAAATTCTAATTAATAATATGAAAAGTTTTGAGAAATTTTTCCATCAAAGATATCTGTGAAATTCTTGTAGCAATTAGACATATTAAAAAAATACATATTGACAAATTAGGTATTAAATCTCGCAAATACTTGATTAAGCACTGATACATTTGACAAAGAATAGGTATTTTATTCAAACGGAAGCCTTAATTAGATAAGGATAAATAAGGTAAAATATTCAGGTATTCGTGTGCCACCTTGTCATGCGTATATTTGAAACGCACAGTAAAAAGGCCATATACATGAAACGTGAAACCTTTCTACGATCGTTCTTCAACTTCAAATACAAACTGATGCGGATAGAGGAAAGCAGTAGATTCCTATACGTCGTACAATTCACTCCCGAAAATGCAATTAAAGCTCCATCGAGTACGAATGATTCTTCTCGATCGGATTAGATCTACTCGGGAAGCAATCATTCTCTCGATGGGAAGCTGCCGAGAATTCGCATTTGCGTGACTGTGTTTTATACAGCGTACACGTTACAGCATACGAACAAATTGCCTCACTTAAAATGTAAATCTAACATAACCGGGCTACATTACGGTATATATCGTATACGATACTTTCTCTCGTCCGGCCAACTAACTGAAAAATCGCGAGAAGTTGATATATTTTACAGAAGCTTTATATAACAATATGTCGCAACGTAGTGAAACGGCAGCGGTTGTTTTCCTAATACTAAACGAAAGTAAGCAAACGTTTCGTGGCGCTTGTATACATATGTGACGGCATTAAAACAAAATGACAGAACAAAATATAGATTACGCATGAAATTAATATTTCGCAATCTCTTTTCTTCTTCCTGACAATATCGACGCATCAGCCTTCTGTTTTCTCAACACTTTGCAGATTAAGTCCGACAATGCGTCGACTTTTCAACGCGCGAGCGAGCTTTCTCTCCTCAAAGTGTCGAAGGATTTTATCTCCGGTATCTCGGTAAATTGATACGTTATATTCGCTTATCTATTCGTTAATATTAACTATACGGTATTACAGTTCATAGCATGAAATCGTTTCCTTTTTCCTCTTCCTCTTGCAGTGTACGCGACGTAAATTGTTCAATTCGCATCTTCGTCCTGTTCGGCTCTTGAAAAACTATATGCAATGGAATCTACCACCGTGTCTCATAATACTGAATGCCACATGAACAAGAAAGGCCCACTTATAATAGTGATCGGTATCAGGCAAAACAAAACCCAACTAGAGTCTCGAAGAGTCAATAAATAATTTTTTTTTCAGCGAATATCAAACAAACCTCGATTTAATCGACGGATCCATCATCGAGAATATTTGTTACAAATTTTTCAATGTACCGAGTATCGGGCATTATGAATAGAATGCACACGATTTTAGTGAACAATAATACAGTTTACTAACCGTTTATACAGTTGCAGTTTATGTAAATTGTTTGTATTTGTTGTTCAGTAAATCGCAATGTAATACGAGAGTAATGAATAGAAGACAACAATGTCACTTGGTTGAGAACGCCGGTACAAAGTTCTGTGTCGTTACACCGTGTCAATAAAAGGCAACGTTCGTTATAGTTTGCGTGAGACGCATAGAACTTAAGTTCAAGAAGTAAAAGTTACGTGAATATTCAAAGTTTGTACCGTTTCTCAATGTTTATATCTTCATCCATTATTAAGTCTCCTCCACTCTAGTATTCTTACTCGTATTTTTCCGACAGTAATACAAAATTTACCGTTGCTTCACGACTATTTTTCCAACAAAATTAAAACAATTTCATCACAATAGTCTTGACGCAGCGGGACAAATTTCGAATTATTGCCTTCTCTTCTTTTTCTTTTATTTAGATTCATCGAAATTTCCGATGCAACGTATCATTACTGTCTACCCGCGAACGATAGGATGTATGGAAATTTCTATTCCCTTCTCTTCTCAACCGGACAAAAATTCGCCGTTTTTTAGGATGTTTCTACATCGAGATTAAAACAATTTTATAATGGTCTTGATGCAACGGGACAAATTTTTTAAATTACTATTCTCTTTTCGTTCCGTTTTATATTCACCGAAATTTCCTATACAGCGTATCATTACCCTTTTACCCGAATGACAGATGTATGGAAATTTCTATTCCCTTCACTTCTCAATATTTTACGATACATGAATATGTTGACCCCAGATTGCTTCTGGCCCCCGTAGAAAAGCAAATTGGGGCATAGGGACAGTGTATGTCGCATTACCTATGTTTTATCAATTTAAAGCCACTTAATCTTTCACACAATCGTTTTAATCAACGCGTATCTCCAGTGCACGTAGCCAGAGCTTGCTCTGGAAAAATACGTTTTATACGATTTTATTTATAATTTTCACATGCGACTTAATAGAAATAAGTTTTAACTTGCATTTTTTCAAATAATGCGACAAAAACGTACACACAAAAAAATATAAAGTGATTAATTCCGAACAACCGAGGATTTAAAAAAAAGGAAAAAAAAAACATTATTATGAATTATTAACATATCATTAGATAACAAGACAGCTTTTTATTCATGATAACGTGAAAGCTAAGGAATTCAATTGAGAAATTAAGAGATGGTCGCATTTCACCTTCAGGTCGTGTAACTTCGATTAACGATTTCCCTATAGTGTTCATTATACAATATATTATAGACTGATCCTAACTGGAGAATGACCATTTTGAATCATTTGTAGATAAGTATATTGCTATTGTGATCCTGTCAATGAAAAGTTACAATAAATATAGCAGTTATACCTGTCACTGCTAGGATCGCAATCACGATCAAGCACCAATAATGTTCCATGGCATTTTTAATTTTGTAAGAGCTGTAATACACGAATCGTTCAATGATACGTTATTGTAATTCATAACAATAAATTTCCGATAGTCACAGAAACTTGTCATTGTCTACTGTGACTAATCAGACGTTTCTAGTCATTAAACGAAAGAATTCTTACACAATTACTAAATACATATCGCTTATTGGTGCTTGAACGGCATTTTAATGTAAATTAGGACACTGCAAAAGATCAGGAAGATTTCATATAACATGCTAATAACTAATTTAAATAATTTTATATAAATTGATTCAAGTTTATATCCATTCGATTTTTATCAATTTTAGTAATGTAGATAGCAAGCAATCCAATGATATAAACAATAAACGTGTAAAATGAAAAATATATATAGATATAGACTATGCACAACGCTTCGTGTAAATTTTTGATAAATGTTTTTGATATAAATACATTTTTACAATTATAAATATAATCAGATTATTGTAGCAACTTTTTTCTATATAGATTACTATACAGAAAAAAGGGGAGAAAGAGGGAGAGCTTTTTTAATAGATCAGATTCCGCGTATAAAGGAATCGGATTTAGTAAAAAAATTGGCTAACAGAACCGCGGCTGAGACCCTCTTTGCGCGATTGAAGAAAAAAGTCTCTGTCGAGGAACAGCACATCTCCAAAATGTGAAATTGGCGATGAATAAACAATATTAATATCATCAATTTTGCAAAGAATTTTATAACAACGGAATTCACTCAACTTTCTTTTGCAGTGGCCTAAAGAAGCATAAATATAACTCAACATTATGTATGTACTTAAGCGCTACTCAGTTACTTATCGATAGCTCCATCCATAATGTTATTTTTAACTTGAATGCTAATGTGTATCCCATCACCAGATGCACCTTTATCCTTCTTCACTTGTGCTGCATTCGAGGCATTATCAAGTCCCAATTTACTAAGAGTACGAAGCGCCCTTAGAGCCGCTTGATTGCGACTCGCAGTTATTGTCGCTCCATTACCGTGACAAACTTGCGGTGGATCAGTGCTTAGCGACACAAGTGATAAATATTCCTTGTTTATAGACACTCCCTGGAACATTAATGGAAAATAATGGCTTAATATTCAACGATATGTCAATGTCACATTCATCATTTCCTATTCACACATGCGTTCCATTTTGATTTATTTAATTCCACTTTAATTAAGACTATTTTAATATTCTTTTAATACAGATCAAATAATCGCGATAGATTACCTTAGGAAAATCGCTAAATTCTACGCTGAAATTAAATAACTGAGATAAATAATGCAATTGATCCTTGGGCGAAACACCAGCCGTATTTTGTTGTTGCTGTTCGCGCAACTCTTCAGCAACTATTTGTACGCTGGGTCCATTCCCTAGTTTAGATTCTTGACCTCCGTCTACCAATAAAAGACCAGGTACTAATTGGCGGCCTATGGTACCTAAAGACGATAAAAATTTTTTAATTTCTCGAACACGATTATTGAACATGACTATTATCGATATTTTTCCTTACCTCCTACTGAGTGAGGTTGAGTGTCGTTCATTTGTTCGTCCTCGAGAAATGTAACTTTTCTAGGCTTCGACTCCGTGTTTTCGCTCTCTCCCGTCTTTATGGATGGTTTTGCGGGTTGCGGCGACGGTTTACTGTATCCCAATTGCGTCAAGAGAGCCTCAGCCGCAGCTCTCTTAGCCAATTTCTTGTTAGGTCCGATTCCTTGAGCGGAGTGCTGGCCCATTATCACTTCCATGACAAACTCTCTGCGTCTTGGTGCGCCCTTCTCGTCTATCAGATTGTAAACCGGTTCCCTCTCGCGTTTCGCCTGTTGAATCTGAACCAGTCGCGAGACCGGATTGACCTCCTCCGTGGCTTCATTCTCTGCACGGGGCTCTTGATAAACTTTGATTAAATTACGAGATTTCTTCTTCGTCGCTGGTGGCTTACGTTTCACTCGCATCGTTCGATTCTGTATGGTAGCCGGTAACGGAGGAAGACGCTTCAGTTCGTCTAACATCAACTCGGCGGCGCGTTTCTTCGACACCTAAGAAAACAGCGACGGTAGGAGTATTAGAAATTGCATTACTTATCGTTCTTCTACCTGAAAAGTTTGAGAGATTACTTTTTTCGAGGATCCTTCTCCCACAGTAACCTTGTCGCCGACAGTGCATTTTGTCATAAAGGTTCTTATGTGAGGTTTACCGCTTTCAGATACGACTTCAAAACCGACTGGCAATCCACGTTTTAGTGCGGTTTCGTGAACAAGAGATACGGGACTTTTCAACTCAGCGTTCGGATCGTCAATGCCACTCAGCGAGCCGTTCTCGTTGGAGTTATTCACGTTTGCGATCTCTTCTGGTAGTGGCAATTGACGTAGCTGTTCCAAGGCTCTGCTAGCTGCATCGTGACGTGCTGCTTGGCCTGTCAAACCTCTACCCGTGAATTCGCGTTCGCCCACCTTCAGAGTTACGAGATACAGTCCCTGAAGATCCGTGTGAACTCCACGATTGTACGCAAGTCGTGGATTATACATTCGTGGGAAGTTACCGAATCCGTGCGGCATAAATTGATGTTGCAACGCAGCTGGAGGAGCTTGTCGGAACGTATAAACAGTTGGCTCACCCCGTTTCATCGCTAACGCGTTCAGTTCGACAGTGGGTGGCAAATGTCCTGCGATCCAAAACGGCACGAGATAAATTTTCGATAAATTAAATAATACTGAAGAGTACTACAACCCCCTGCCCCTATGTGGATCTTGTAATTGAAAAGGATAAAGTTATAAGTCAACATTACTGTACAATTATAACTATACTGAGAACGATAACGTTGCAAATCGATATTATTATTCTACTATAATTCCATGCATATAGAAGTCAAAATATGAAATTACCAGAACCTGTCGGACATTTGCCCAGGTGACCGATCCTCATAGCCTTGGTGGGTTTGGGAGGAGGTTGACGGTACCAAGTTTTCGTCAATGCTTCGGTTGCCGCGCTATGTTGAGCTTTCTTTATACTAGGACCTTCAGCGACATATTCCTCCTCACCTAGTTTTAGTGTCACCGTGAATCTTTTTTTGTGCGCCGGTCCCTGCTCGTTGGTCAGTCTATATTGATGTTGAATCCTATTGAATCTCGCCAACTCGTTTAACAAGCACATGGGTGTTTTTTCTTTCATGTTTGCCAAAGCTGGATTAGTCCCGTTGGCATGATTCTGACCAGAGGCATTATCGTCTCTTGACTCTCCATTGGCATCGTTCGTTAACACCTTCGATTGCTCCACATTTGGTTGTTGCGGCACATGTTGCGGCTGTTGCTGCTGCTGCGATTGCGACTGTTGCGATGGCTGTTGCTGTTGGGGAGGCTGATTTTGCTGATTATTCGGTTGTTGCTGCTGCTGCTGCTGATGTGGATACTGAGGCTGTTGCACATTTTGAAGAGTCACAGAAACTGTATTTGCTTGGTCCTTCATGCTAACGCTAACCATGGTATCTGGAAGTAAAATGTTTTGCATTAATTTTCACGTCAATAATTAAGAACAAGGATCAAATCTTTCACCGTGTATCTGTACTTACTGTTTGTACTGTGCGTATTCATACCCATCAACATCGGCTGTCTCGGATTTCCATGCGGCGGGCCAGGATGCTGCATGTGATGTATATGCTGTTGATGGGGGGGCATGGATAGTATTTGTTGATGCGGATTCCGATGTGGTAGCAAATGTTGCGGCTGATGTAGCTGTGGCATGTTAGCCTGCTGCATGGGCCGCATTGGTCCTGCCATTCTGCAGAGTCATTTTTGGTTGATTACACCCAGGATCATTGGATAAATTTCTCATTTTTGTACTAACTTTTTATAAATTAGCAAATATCACGTTGTTCTTTATTATATATATTTAATCCCTTTTATAGTGACTCTTGAAAAGTTTTCACCGTACATGTAGAAACATTACAGCGATATATTATTAAGTCACTAAACAGAATCTTTAGGAAGTTTCTTGGTCAATTTTTACTAATCTGCACAGATATTTACATGATAAAGTTTATTATTTACTTCAGTTCTATTCTATTCTATTAGATCGGTATTCTTAGGATAGACTAATGTTTCGATCACTTTTTATTTGATTCCGTCGTTGCAGAAGTGTTAATGTAAGATTTGATTATAGGACATTAACCTATTATGATCTCGAAGCTGATTTTGCATCGCGTGATGTTGGTGGCGTAACATCTTATGAGAATCTACGCAGACAAACCTGCAAAGTGAAAGAGCAAGGTCATTCAATCCTGTTTCAACATATTTCAGGCGATGGTGTGTCGTGTTGCACATATATAAACAAATCTTTACAGCCTGTCAATCTTTTACATTTAACGACGCTACGCAATTGAAACTATTGAAAGGTAATCAAACTTTATGAAGCTTTAATAATCAAACTTTTCATCGTGTTAAAATATATAATACATCTGTCTTCTTTCACATACATAGACAAGCTCCCACATAGCAATCAGCAGACTACGAACCATTCTTCTGCTAATTTTGCTAATCAGTGAGAGAGAGGACATAACGTCTCATAATTACCAATAAACAAGCAATCTAGTCTACGAGTTGTACTGTTTGTTGATCTTGCCGATCAACAAAGGAGCTCTCTCGAGTTAAAAAAAATAGGCCTAATCCGAAATTTACTCCGAAATGTAATTTCCAGCGTACTCCTTTCTCTCCACATGGAGACGGACGAGATTTTCGGCGATACGAGTCTTACGGTTTCGCGCGCGATTTACCGCGGTCGCGAACGATCCGGTCGGAGCCGGAGGAGACGATAAGGGAAGACGGTATAACCTTTCCTGCGAGGAAAGGGCGAGCCGGTATGGTATAACGGGCGGTTTATTTACGCGGGACGCCGTCGCGGCAGCGCGCAATTTCGTGTACGCACGAACTGCGTGCCCGGTTTGCGGACGCAAACGAGCGACGTCGATTTTTCTCCAATCTCTATAAATAAGATCCCGTCTCTTCGAGACGGAATGGGCTTGGTCCGGCGGCGGCGGCGGCGGCGGCGGCCCGTCCGTATAGGAAGCGGAGCTGAGCCACGCCGCGCGCGCGGCGCCGTACACCCTTTTTGCTCACTTTTCCCACACTTACCCGGTCACGTTCGCTCTATTTCGCGGAAATTTAGATCGTGTCGCGCGACACAGGGAAATTTCCGGCGAAACAG